TTCGGTAAAAGTGACTTTTCAGAAATACCCCAATATAGGTATCAATCTTCACCATTTCATATACTAACCTCATTCATGATGTCTATATCCTTATATTAGCTCTCTAACTCGGATTTTCTAGATTGGAGCTATTCTACAGACTGTTCCTGCGTCAGCAGTAAAAAACAACAGCTGAAAACTCAACTGTTCAGAATACCCTCAATATAGGTATCAAACTTCATCAAATCTTATGCTTACATCATTTATGATATTCATATCATTAAGATAGCTCTCTAACTTAAATTCACTTTACTGGAGCTATTCTACAGTCTATTATTGTGTCAGCAGTCATAAAAAAAAGATGAAAATTCACCTGACTGGAATACCCTCAATATGGGTATCCAAATTCTTAGAATCTCATTCTCATCCTATTTATGACCATAAGGTCCTCATCATAACTCTCTAATTTAAAATTCATATAATTAGGGTTATTATATTCACCACATCTTTTAAAAAGATTTTGTCCTCAAAATCATATCATACCTAATATCAAAATCGGGATATCGCTGAAGAATATCATCCTCCCGCTCCCATGTGGCGTCCTCAGGTGTCAATCTTTTCCATTGAATCTTGATCATGGGAATGACTCTGTTTCGAAGTCGTTTCTCATCTCGAGCAAGAACCTTAAAAAGTCCAACAACGAACTTCAAATCCTTCTTAACCTATATATCATCAGGTTGTACAATATGTGAATCATCATATATATATCTGCGGAGCTGACTCACATGGAAGACATCATGTAGATTCTCCAAGTTGGGAGGTAAAGAAAGTTGGTACGCCACCGGTCCGACCCTCTTTATTATCTTGTAGGGCCCAATGCCCAATGAACCGTGCACTCAACTTCCTTACTCCCAAGGCCCGCCCAACACCTGTAGTGGGTGATAATCGGATGAATACATGATCCCCTTCAGAGAACTCAAGGGGTATGTGCTTAGCGTCATAGTAACTTTTCTGACAGCTTTGGGCTTTCTTCAGCCTATCTCTGATCATCTCAATCTGCTCTGTAGTCTCTTGGACCAAGTATGGCCCCAATAACTGTCTTTCTCCAATCTTCGTCCAACAAGTAGGTGCTCTACACCTACGGCCATACAAGGCCTCATAAGGAGCCATGCCCAAACTGACATGATAACTGTTGTTGTACGAGAACTCAACAAGTGGCAGGTACTTGTCCTAAGCATTACCCTGCTCAAGCACACATGCTCTCAACATGTTCTACAGTGTCTGAATGGTCCTCTCTGTCTGACCATCTGTCTGCGGGTGATATGTAGTACTCAATCTCAATTGAGTACCAAAGGCCTCACGTAACGCTTCCCAGAAGCGTGAAGTAAACTTTGGATCCCGATCACTGATTATGCTTTCGGGAATTCCATGAAGCTTCACAATCTCTCTGACATATAGTCTGTCTAGCTGCTTTGTGGAGGAAGTCGTCTTGACTGGAATGAAATGGGCGGATTTAGTCAACAATCAACCACAACCCACATGGAATCAAATCCAGTCTGGCTTCTCGGTAATCCAACAACAAAGTCCATGGATATATTCATCCACTTCTACTCTGGAATGTCTAATGGCCGTAACAAGCCAGAAGGCTTCTGATGCTCAAGTTTTACCTTCTGACAAGTAAGGCACTTGTTCACAAACTGGGCAATGTCTTCCTTCATCCCAGACCACCAAAAATTCCGCTTCAAATCTTGATACATCTTGGTTGCAGCTGGGTGGATGGTGTACTTACCCATATGGCCCTCTGTTAACACTTCTTCTACCATTGGGCCCTTTGGGACAATTAACCGATATTTGTAGTATTTTATATTAGAAGCATCGGTGAACACAAAATCTTGTTCTTTCATCATTTGGATCCCTTCATCAAGCACTTGGGCCGCTTTAACTTTTTCCATTAACGAATTTCAGACTTCGACCGTAGTCATGAAGTATGAAGTCTCAAATGGTGTCACAGAAATTCGCAAATCCCTAAACTCCTCAATCAAATCATACTCTGCAATCATCATGCTAGCCACACACGTGGTCTTTCTGCTCAAGGCATTAGCCACTACATTCGCCTTTCCAGGGTGATACTGAAGGTCAAACTCATAATCCTTTAGGAATTCCATCCATCTCCTTTGTCTCATATTAAGCTCCTTTTGATCGAATAGATACTTCAAGCTTTTGTGATCACTAAAAACTGTGAAGGTAGCACCATACAAGAAGTGCCTCCAAATTTTCAAGGCGAAAACCACAGCCGCTAATTCAAGATTATGAGTAGGGTAGTTCTCTTAATGTGGTCTCAACTGTCTAGAAGCATAGGCCACTACCTTTCGCTCCTGCATCAACACGCACCCTAATCCATACTTGGATGCATCACAATAGATCTCAAATCTCTTCTCTTGATCAGGAAGAATCAAAACCGGTGCGGTAGTCAACTTATCTTTCAATTCTTGAAAACTCACATCACACCCAAGGGTCCATGCAAATGGCACCCCTTTTTGGGTCAACCTAGTCAATAGCAAAGCAATTCTGGAGAATCCATTAATAAACCGCCTATAATATCCTGCTAAACCCAGAAAACTCCAGATTTCAGTAACACTCTTGGGTCTCTTGGTGGGACGTAAATACGTTCCCATCTAAGCCCATTTTGATAGCAAAATACCATTTGTTCCCTTATCTAATGAGCAACTTCAGCATGAAAATCACTTGTTTTACACATTTGTGACAAAAACACAGTGGGGGAACGAATGATGACGTAATACTTTGAAAACACATTAAAAAGGGAATGGATTGAGAGCAATTATTTCACCTGCTCCACTCATTTAATGCTTCTGATCACTTTGTAGGAAACATGGAAACAAAGTCTTCATAAAGCAAAGACGGTGCACCAATTGAGCACAAAGAAACGTGCACGGCAGGGAATAAAGAGTTCTCATTGGCTAAGAAGAAACCAAGACATGGGGGACTGCAAGAAAACAGCTAATCATCAACAATAACTTTCCCATCAAGCAAGTTGCAAGCTTCCAAACACTGTTGCCACCGCCCCGTCCCTTCAGTCAAGAAACCAACTCCAAAGGATTTTACAAGACTGCCACTCACTCTTCTGCCTATAAATAGGACGTCCCAAACACGAAGACATCATCGAATTCCTTAGGAATCAAATTCCTAAAGAAAAGATCACCTATTATTATTTAGTAGTTTACATTTCTGTATAGTTGTAGCTATAGTTAAGTGACAACACTTCTCCCTTATTCTGTAACATTCACTTGAGACTCCTCACGAGCATCTCCCATCTTCTCCATTTTAGATTTTGTTGTAATCTTCCATGTTTCATTTTAAAATAAGTGTTTCTTCTATCCTTTCCACTCGTTATCTCTGAACTGAATCTCGGGTCTATGGGACTTCAGTTTAGAATAATTATGTTTAAAATATCAGCCATGGGCTGAAGTATCTGTGGAACGGATAAGCTGCAAAACTCTTAAAGAATTATTTTCAAAACTCTTGACTGAAGCTTTTTGTATTTCTCTGGCTAAGTAAGCTATATTCATTGTGTATCAATGGAAATTGAACACATACTGAGAAAGGAACTTCCTTAAGGAAGGGATTTCAGACAGCTTAGCCAATGGGGGAAGGTAGTGTTTTGGCACCGACACTATTGGTCACCTTAGGAATAAGGGGCCACTTCGTCCACTTTAAGGTTCTGTACCAAGTACTTGTTGGAGTCAAGGGAGCCATAGGAATATGGAAACTTGTGAGCCATATAGTCCATGAGCTGAGGAATCAGATTGGCAGTTAAGAAACTGGGACAAAGCCAAAAAGTGCTAAGTCTTGAGCAGAGAAAATAACTATTTAAGAATGGAGCAGTAAATCTGTTCCTTGTGTTAAATTGTTTTAAAACCATCCACTTTGTTGTCTCTTGATTATAGTTATAATTGTTTTATTTTTACTTTACTTAATCTTGTATCTATCAAACTCCAATGATTATTATCACACCTTCTCTTAAGCAGGAAGGATCACATATATAACGCAACGAGTAATTGTTTGCCATCATACTGAACTTACTGTTCTTGACGAACGTTGTCAAGACAGCAGCGAACGTTTGACCAGACAGTTCAACCACTAACTTTTCCTCTTATTTTCATTCTTTATAAAATAGTTTAAGACATTATTTAGAGTTCTATCCTCGTGGGAATGATAATCTGGGCATTAATACACCCTTTATTACTTGATGCGTGCACTTGCGCACTTGGGTTGGAAGCAAGGGAACAAATTTGTTTTCTTTTACTAATTTAGAACAGAGGAACGTCCCTCATCAGAATATATATTTTTCCACCATCAGCAAACCATCGAACATCTCTCCTAATCCAACACTGCTTTTATTTTACTCGAATCAACAGCCACTCCTGTAGATCAGACGACGTGTCCAAGAAACAAGATCTCATGTAACCAAAACTCACACTTAGATGGTTTGGCATATAACTGATCCTCCCTCAAAATCTGTAAGACTATCTCCAAATGCTCTACATGCTCTTCCTTACTCTTGGAGTAGATCAGATTATCATCAATAAATACCACAACAAACTGATCTAAATGTGGTTTGAAGATTCGGTTCATATAACTCATGAACACGATCGGGGAATTAGTAAGCCCAAATGGGATCACTAGATACTCATAGTGCCCATATCTGGATCAGAAAGTCGTCTTCGGAATATCCTCTGCCTTTACCCGGATTTGGTGATATCCGGAACGAAGATCAATCTCTGAGAACACTGAAGCACCCTTGAGTTGATCCAACAAATCATCGATGTAGGGTAGAGGGTACTTGTTCTTCACTGTTACCTTGTTAAGTTGCCGATAATCCATGCACAACCTCATAGTCCCATCATTCTTCTTCACAAAGATGACTGGTGAACCCCAAGGAGATACACTCGGTCTGATAAAGTTCTTATGGGACAATTCTTCTAACTGCTTCTTTAGCTCTGCTAGCTCCACTGGTGACATCCTGTATGGAGCCAATGAGATAGCCCCACACCAGGTACTAAGTCGATTGAGATTTCAATCTCCTTCTCAGGTGGAAAATGGGGAATTTCTTCCGGAAATACGTCTTCAAACTCGCACATAACTGGAATATTAGCAGTAGGTTCTTTGGAGTCTCCTACGAGTCCTCCCAGAATAATATATCCCGCATCTCCCTCATCTAGAGCCTTATTTAACTGCGGTGCCGTCAAGTACAAATTGTCCGACTTCTCTCCTTTTAAAGAAAAGAAAATTCTCCTGCTACAACAGGCGAGCATCACACCATACCGGACCAGCCAATCCATACCCAATATAATATGTAGATTCATGCCTTCAAGCACTATCAAATCCACCATATACTCTTCTTGCTCACATATGAATCTGACTTCTTTGCACTTCAAAGAAGTAGAAACAATGTCTCTGATGGCAGTCTTCACTACCATGGGAGGCGTGAACTCATGAATGGGCAAATGTAATCCATTAGCAACAAATTCTGATATGAAGGAGTGGGTAGCTTCAGAATCAAACATGGCATTGAATGCATATCCTCTGATAAGAATAGTACCTTTGATAAGGTTTGGAGACCTCTCTGCCTCCTGTTGTGTCACTGCATATACCCTAGCACTAGTGGGCGCTATAGGCTCCTCTATGGCTCTCTGAGTAGGCATAGACTGAATGGGAATCGCCTGAATGGCTGCAACTTGCCCCGCCTTCTTGGGGCACTCCCTGGAATAGTGTCCCGCCTGACCATAACTGAAGGAAACATTCTGCCCCAGTCTACAAACACTTGTATGCATCTTCCCACACTTAGCACAAGTGGGAATCTTCCCTGCACTAGACATGCCGCTACCATTCTTCACATAGGGAGTCTTCTTAAACTTGGTGTGTTCTGCTGTGCTTGCAAACCTTTGCCCTTACCCTTCCAGGGCGTAGTCCTCCCACTAAAGCTCTTTCCAGCTGCTTCCTTACCTCTGGTACGGTAATACTCCTGAATATTCTGACACTGTTTGATCAACTGCACAAAGTCTCTGGTACAATGACCAGCCAGCTTGTTCGCTATCATATCATTCAAGCCCTTCTTAAAGTTCCTATTTCTCTTAGACTTGTTTCTGTTCTGCTTCACTTGCAAGCCCTTGCTCTTCCCATTCCAGGGAGTACTCTTCCTATCGAGACTCTTGCCTGCAGCATCCTTACCTCATGTCCTATAATACTCTTGTATGTCCTACTGTGGTTATGGTGGTGGTGGAGGTCCTGCTCGAACCTCAACCAATAATAGTCTCATCATCTCCACGTTCGCCATTCTATTCTTAGCCACGAGATCCTCACTGGTCTTCCTCATGTACTCCACGTCTCTCTCTTTGGCCTCAGCCAACCTCTATAGATCAGCTTCCCTGGCAATATTCAAGGTCTGCTACGGGATCCAGTGTTGGATCCTCAACTACCCGACAGGTCCTCCTTTGAGGAACCATGATAATTGCACACAACTTCCCCAGAATGAGTTAGCTATGATCATACACGTGATGACATATGCATTATCAAAGGACTCAAAGAAACACTCTAAAGGTAGTTAACACTTAGCAATAAATCAGCGAACGTCCCAGTGAAACTGCTCTGATACCATAAATGTAACACCCCGTAGTACTCAGGTTGTTAACATACATGATATTTAACATTCATAGCGGAAGAATTTATTTGAAAAGGAATAAAGCGTCTTATTAAAATACGAGTAAACTTTTTCCAAAATATTTTATACAAACATTTCTAAAAAACGTTCACGTGAGATACTGCGAAAACGTAAATCTAAACATATATCTACTAATTAATCCCATGAGCCAGTATTAGTGGCCATTGACCATCAAGATATGACATCAAGTATCATTCCTGACGAAGTCTCACGGACAACATAATGGCTATATTTCGGATAACTGGGAACACGGTCCCATACATACAGATCACCTAATTGATATAATAATTTAAACAGATAGCTTGCAAGTCCCACACGGACTGCAATCCCCTCAATAGGTCAATACAATTAATAAGGTTCCATGCCCAAATTAATTGAATACATGCATCAAGTCTATATTAATTCAAAGTATAAAAGCATGAGCCTAAATAAATACATACAATAATCTCCAAAACATAATTAAGCATGTTAACAAGTCTACATGCCAACATCAAATCTAAGCATAATATGAAATCATCAACTGCATCATCAACTACTCCAATGCGGGGGCCTTGCCTACATACCATGATCACTGGTCAAGATACTCATAATATATATCATTAGTGCATCATCATAACATCAAGATCATATAACATCTATATGAGTGTGAATGAATGCACATATACATCATACCATATACTTTCATACAATACAACCATAATGCCCACCATCATGGTGGGGCCACAAGAGAGAGGAGTCAACTAGAACTAGGAGCTTACCTCAGGGAGCTTAGCACAAGCTCACACTCCAATATAATACGTATGCTCCAACACAATCCTCAAGTGCAGGGTTCTCTAGGCACACCTATAGTAGGAACCATTCACATCATTAATTACATATTAATTAATCAAGTCATATCCATGACTTAATCATTTAATGATTCCACTTTTCATACTCATATGTCAATAATATGCCCATTACAAGTCCAGACCAATTATTACTTATTACATATTTTAGTGCATTATTACAAGCAACCTCAATCTTTGATCACTTACATAAATTAGAATCACATGCAAGGCTTACTTTGTTAACTTAAATTATTTTCAACTCATCCAAGCCATATATATGATTATTATAAGTTACTAAGGGTTCCCATAAGCCCACTTAGCTTAAATATCACTTTTACGGTTTTCCCAAAACTGTACATGCTTCTGTTTTCTAGTCACTGAGCACAACTCACTTGTTATAAAATTCTCATCTTTTAATATGTTAATCTAGACTCATTTACATTTAGAACAAGGTATCACATGTCTCATTTGGAGTTTTCTAGCTCCGATTATCGTCATTTGAAGTTGGACAAACAAAGCTGTTTGCCAACTCCGAACAAGGCCCTAAACATCATTTACCATTTCTGCAATTATGGACAATATACTAAACCAATTGCTCTCAAATTTTTATATAGACAACTAGACACCATTAGATTTAATTAGACATACTATGAGCCTAATTTGAGTAAGAATTGAGGGAGAAACAATTCGTGTAAGTTGCAGCCATGTACAGCCCCTGCACATGGCCTCCCTGAGCAGTCCTCACTCAAACGAATATACAGAATGGAATACATCTTCAATTGGTACTAAATTTTGACACCATATAGCTAACAGTAAATTTTGATTAGTCGATCACAGATCCACTAACAGTTGTTTAATTGCATTGTAGTCTTTACCAGTGTTCTTAATTGTACCCGGATTTTATAATTTTTTTAACTTTAACATTTTTGGTATGATTATGACTTGTTAGGCATATATTGGTCTTTGTTTCCATTTTCTCATCTTTTTCTCGTTCCGAGATTCTACCGGTTGCTGCTACGACAGTACAAAATATTCGGTAAAAGTGATTTTCAGAAATACCCCAATATGGGTATCAATCTTCACCATTTCGTATACTAACCTCATTCATGATGTCTATATCATTATATTAGCTCTCTAACTTAGATTTGCTAGATTGGAGCTATTCTACAGAATGTTCCTGCCAGGGGTGTTAACGGGCCGAGCCAAGCCGAGCTTTGGTCTTAAAAGGCTAAGCTTGTGTTTAAATGTGTCAGCCTGACCAAGCCTGTTACCTGTTATGAATATAATTCCAGCGTGTGGCCTGTCTTATTTACAAAAAATAAAAGTCTGGTTTAGCCTGTTTAAAAAAAAAAAGACAACCAAAATTTATCCAAACAAAATATACAATCAACAACACAAGTAATATCATAAATATTCATAAATTTAATGTATATCCAAACAGCATAATATAAAACAAAAACATTCAAAAAGTATGTTTAATTAACAAAATGGGATGAAATGGATTGAGAAGAGAGAGGGCTATCACAAGTAGTATAAAAAATATAAAATAAAAATAAAAATTAATATATTAGGCCAGCCTGAGAAGCACTAAGGCCGAGCTTTTGAATTGGAGCCTGAGGCCTTTTTATTAAACTAGCTTTTATACAAGTCCAAGCCTTGTTCCAACAATCAATTTTAGACATGTAAGCTCAGGCCTTCACGAGCCGAGCCAAAGGCCTCTGGCTCGTTTAGCACCCCTTGTTCCTGCGTCAGCAGTCAAAAACAACAGTTGAAAACTCAACTGTTCAGAATACCCTCAATATAGGTATCAAACTTCATCAAATCTTATGCTTACATCATTTATGATATTCATATCATTAAGATAGCTCTCTAACTTAAATTCACTGTACTAGAGCTATTCTACAGTCTATTACTGCGTCAGCAGTCAAAAACAATAGATGAAAATTCACCTGACTGGAATACCCTCAATATGGGTATCCAAATTCTTAGAATCTCATTCTCATCCTATTTATGACCATAAGGTACTCATCATAACCCTCTAATTTAAAAGTCATATAATTAGGGTTATTATAATTTCCTTGAGAGACAACTCAGATTGACACTTTGCTACAAATTTTTTATTGAACCTGATTATTTTAATTTGCGTGAGTTCGACGACTTACGTCACCCCTACACTATCTCCATCAACCTTCTTTGTACCAGAACCAGGAGGTGGTGGATCATCCTACTTCTCAGGAGGACCTACGCTTTTATTTCTGCAATTTTTCCTCAAGTGTCCAACTTGTTTGTTGTAACACCCCGTGTTCACCCAGTGTATTAAACATACATATGGTAATAGCGCAGCTTAATAAATGCGGAAGCTAAATTTTTTCCAATTATGAAACTATTCATTATTAACCAAGTGGATTTACTTATTCTTTTTCAAAATATCGCATGTATGTAAATTGCAATAAATACTACAGTGAATAACCTCATAATATAAATAGTGTATCAAGACATGAAACTACAGCATGTAGACCAGACAATATCCTGATACAATATTCTAACACAAGTCTGAAATAAACATGACTTATACCACTGTGGCATGGACAACCCCCATGCTCACCAAACCAAACAACATAGCTAATCATGTCTCAAGTCATACAACCATATACTAATGACAGGGCATAATATAATCCAAATATAACAATGTAAGCATGAAACATCTCAGCTCAACTCCGGCCTCCTGCCACCAGAGGTCTCAACCTCAAAGGTACCTGTTCCTGAAAAAGTGCCCCACACGGGGTGAGATTTCTAACAAGAAATCTCAGTAAGGCAAGGGGTCCTCAAGGACTCTTTCTCTGTAAGCTCACTTACAAGTATATATATAAGTTCAAAAACATTAAATACGGTATAGCTATGACAATATATCCAAATGCTCAGAAACTCATGTACCACAGTTCATATCTCATGTGATGTATGTAAGTACGGTTTAACTGGCCAGGGAACAGGATATGGTTTATGCACGTCTGCGACCTATCTAAACATAAGGGTCATAGCCTTATGCTTACACACAAGGGTCGCAACCTGATCGTGTAAGTAATCAACATCACATCCATACTTTACATCAACAGGCATGTCCACATATCTCAGGCATATATCAATGCATATATCATTTTTGTAAAAGCATACCATGCATATAAACCACCCTCCCAAGGAGGTCAGGGGAACAAGCAACAGATCAATCCGAGGACTAGGAGCTTACTTGTCAAGCTAATGCTTCCCGGACAACTCGGTACCCAAAGGTTCACATGCAAAAGCACAATCTAGCAAGGTCAGGGATCTATTTTCATAGCATTCACATCATTAACATCCATAGTCTAGTATTTCATCGCATTAGGACTACATTTTCTTATCAATTAGCGACCGTAGGCTTTTCCCAAAGCCATAGGTCTTCAATACCTTAGGTTCTGACTTATTTACTAAGGGTACAGAACCCCATCTACGCTTCTGTTTGGACAAAACAGTTCGTAACATGAATCTTCCCAGAATATCCAGATATTTCACGTGGACATATCCGGATATTTCGCGACAGAATGCAGTTTTGCATTTTCGCGAAGATATCCATCCAAGACTCCATTTTTCATGTTTCCAGACATTCAAGCATGCATTTTAAGGTGTGTTATACCTTACTAACATTTAAGTTTAACTTTCACTTATTACAAGCATCAAAGTTCATTCTTTATACAAAAATTCAAGAACAAGGGAATGATGCATACCCCAAAGGCTTAAAACAGAGGAAAATAATGATCTTAAAGCTTCCTATACAGCTCTGTGGTTCTGCTACTACAAGACCACGAAAATGGTTCACACACAAGCTTGGTCCTTTTTCTCCAAAGGTAGCTTCTTGAAGCATCAAGTGCCAAGAAAATGGCTCCCACTTCACTAACCAAGAAGTCATCCCTCAACCCCCACAACTCAGTAGCTAAACTCAGAAATGGAGTAGCTTTCTCCCTCACAATGCTAACTACTCAGTGTTTACAAGATCAAAGGGGAAGAATTAATGTAAAAGGTGGGTTTTTGGCTCATTTCCATGCATAAAGGTCAAGACTTCAAGTACAGAGGAAGGTGCAGGAAATGGCAGCAACAAGAAGGCACGTCGGAGTCTATACAATTGCCCTAAAAATATATGCCATCATATATATAAGTGCACTTAACTTAATCCGTCAGTATTAGTTCTAATAGTTTCGCTAATCATTTCACTCCCAAACTTAATATTCTGAACCTAGCCATTTTTCTAGGAATTATTATATTTTTATTATAATTTTCGCAGCACTTTGCCGGTATGCGTTTTATACGTAGCCGATATTAGTTATGGCATCAACGCTCATTATTCTCACTCCAAACTTGGTATTCCAGACCTAGATATTATTCTAGGAATATTTATATACTTATTATAATTTTTCGAGATACTTCACTGGTATGCATTTATACCGCAAAGCAGAATCGGTATCTGCACTTTTCGTCAAAAAAGCGACTTAAGCATTATTCCACTTTCTCATTAATTATCTTATTATCATTATGCATAATCATTATCAAATCAATGCTCCGGCATAGATAATCTTATTTAATTAATTATTTAGCGGTGCGGGTTCTTACACTTACACCTCCAAAACCTTACTTCAGATTTATTACAGGACTTTAACCGTCCCCTCGATCTTCCTCTCTAACCAGACTTCGATCTGTCGCCACTCCTCCCTCGAACGACTAGAGCCTCATTACTGGTACATGCAAAACCTACGATTCTTATCTTCTCAGACAATAGAGCACCAACAACCGTCTCGCATGACAGTTTATTACCGCCAGTAACGATTGAAACAATGATGTACTCCTAAGAATTGCAGTGAACGCATCAAGGTGCAAGCTTTATTTTCCTCATCCAGATTTATATCTATAGAAGAAAGTTGCGCAGAAATAGTGTTTAATTCATTTAAATAAGCAGAGAAAGAATCACATTCGCTCATCTGCTAATTATACAGCTCCCTTCGTAAGAACAGGTTGTTCACGAGGTTTCGTGGTCTTCTCAGAAGTTACGTTCACTAGAACCTTATCTGCCAGGCATAACTAGATCAAGCTTCGCGCCTTTCGATCGTCTCTGGTCCACGCCTTGAACTTTTTCGACTCGCCTCCCTCCGATGTTTCATCACCGAAAGTTTTGGTTGGTACCGATGGCTTCTCATCTTCGATAACGTACCACACGTCCCTGTCAACGAGCAAAGCCTCCACCTTCAATTTCCATAACTCGAACCCATTTCCTTCAAACTTTTCAACCTCGATTCGTGATTGGCCAGTCGACATCCTTTTCAGATCAATTTCGCAGTTCTCTATACAAAAAAAAACTCCAAATCGTGAAACTCCAATCTGCCACAGGAACCCCGGTCGCAAAACCAAAGCTTTTGATACCAAATGTTGGAAATCGACAATCACACACAAATCGCAAACGAAAAGAGAAAGAGAGAGATAGAGAGAATTGTCACAGTGATTTATCCTGGTTCACCAAATGTAAGCTACGTCTAGCTTGTCTGTACTATATTCACCTCACCGCCACTTGTTACAGGTCACTTGGTTTACAAGAAGAATATAAATATGATTAGAAAATCCTAACAGCAGCTATTCATGGGACCAAGCCCAAACTACTAAGAAAAAGAAAAATTACAATAAATCAAAGACCTACAACAATACCTAGCCTCTACGGGCCTGGGGAGGCTGCCCCTCGGACCCCAATTGCCTGGGAGTGGGACCCAAGTTGCCTTTTTGCTGATCCCAACAATAAGGACTCTTATCAACATGCAAAGTATGAGTCATACCCAACAAAATCGATCATGAACGGAGTGTTATATTTATCTACTTCAACTTTTAACTATCTCACTTTTATTATAAAGGAACAAGTTGCTCAAGAATTGGAGCAACAACCTCACATCTAATATAAATATACCAAAAAAAAAACCTTGCGGCTGAGAGCAAAAAAGAACAAGAATACATGAAATTAAAAGCTATAGCATATTTTATTTGGTGGCTTTTTTTGAGTATGCTAATTCGTTGCATATTTTTTTTGGCCTTTTGTATGTATGCTTCAGTTGGTCTTTCATGTTTTTATATTTATCTAGGTATAAAACTATTAACGTAACCTCACCTAAAAGCTTAAACTTTTGGATTAAATTGGTTATTTATATGGTATTAGAGCCTCAGTGTCACGGTTCGATCTTCACTGCCCCCATTTAATTATTAATTAATTAAGTCTTACGGCGTTTCTAAGCACAGATAGGCGGGCCTATGCATTATCCACCCTTCAACATCAATGGATAATTTATTTTTTTTGAGTGCTTTAATCACTTTAATTTAATATTAAAAAAATAAAAAGTGAGTAGTCAATTCCAAAAAATAAAAATAAAAAAAATCCCTTCAAGAACATTTGATGATACAAACTTGAAATTGCCATGCAGAAAAATTACCTTTTTGGAGAAAAACAATAGGAAATATTACCCTCAAGCAAATAGCAACATCGTTGAATTTTTAGCTAAGTTGTTTTTGTACTACCTTTTTTGTTGAAAATTGTAGGTTGGAACTGGTTCACCCTAGAAGAGGGTGAAAGGAGGAAGTAGATAATGAACCTTTAAAAAAAATTGAAGAGTGGAAAATAGGACGAAACTATAGAAAAAAAAAAGAACGTAGATGAGGAATTTAGTAGAAAGAGGGAAGAATGTGAAGGTTAGATGGATTTTTTAGTCATTTTGTTTTGTTTTTTTTTTTTTTGTGTTGTGCACAAAATTTGGTATAGTTATTTGGTTATTTTTTAAACAAAGCTCAAGATTTAGCTTCTATTTTAGAGAGAGAGAAAAATGACTATAACAATGTAAACGCAAATGGCCTAGCCAAATTTGTAGAGTAAGCAAAATGAATCAAGCTCGTCATGTTCGGCCAGTTAAATTCGTTGCTTTTCAATCCACCAACCCATTTGATATTGCTCTGTATAATTGCAGAGTTAAAACGAGTCAAGCTCGTCGTGATGGAGGTTTACTCGTAATCTTTTTTCTTTTTTTTTTCTATCATGTTCTTGTTATCTATGATTCCACTTCCATTCTCAGAAAAAAAATATATCATTGGATCAACTATTTCACAAGAAAATCTCTAAACCATTTCATATTTCACTGCTCTCTCTCTCTCTTTTTCTTTTTTTGCACCTTATTTCATTGAAATTCTATACCCTGGTAAGCGGGTTAGAATTTCCTGATGTCCTAATACATTAATCCATGACATGAGTATTACCCAACTCAATTCACCTGAATTGTCGACAAGGTTCTAATAAAATATAGGCCACAAACATCATATGACAACAAACAAATCAACCCTTTCACATTCAGAGTGTAATCAAGACTAAACGGAAGAGATACGCAACACGTCAGCACATACGACAATTGCTAATGACGCAAGCAATTACGATTAGCCATTTGATTTTCCCATTTTAGCCCTTGCCATTCCCTCGGTACCTATAAAATAGAGACTCGCAACATAACACAACACAACAAGCTCAACTGTGTAACTGAGACACAAACAAAGTGTAAGATGGCGCACGTGAGGAACAAGCAAGTGATTCTAAGAGACTATGTGTCTGGTTTTCCTAAGGAAACAGACATGAGCATTGTTGAAAGTACCTTAACTTTGAAGCTTCCAGAAGCTTCCAATGAGGTGCTGCTCAAGAATCTCTACTTGTCATGTGACCCTTACATGCAAATCCTCATGACCAACGTGGAACCTGGCTCTGTAAGTTATGCTCACTCTCTCTCTCTCTTAGAAACCCTTTTGTCTTTGTTTGCAGCGAAGTACCATGATATGTTATTTGAGAGGATTTATTCCCATCATCCTTAAAGAAAAACTCAAATAATTGAACACTTCCTGATTTAAATTATAATTTTTTCTTTGTCGCATCTTATGTATATTATTCATATAATAATTAGTTAGAAGGGTTAAATATTAGAAGTTAAACTTCTAATCTTTGTCAAATATAGAAAGTTAAATTAATGTTCAACTTTCAAAGGCCTAATTTTAAAAGGAAAAGTTTTGTTCGTCAAATGAGGCTGCGGCATAAGAAAGGAATGGGTCAATTTTTTTCACTTTTCTTTTGAGAAAAACAGTTCAGGAATAAGAATGAATGCAATGGTTCAACGGGGTTGATGTGTTGTGAAGCTTCAATTTTTGTTGTAAATAATTTAATAAGATTCACTTTTTCTAACAATTTAGTATTGAAATTTGAAAATACATTTTAGTCATAAATTTATGCACCTTCTAACAGTTGAGTGATTACAACCATTAACAGGACTTGGGGTGGCTAAAGTCCTGGAATCTGGACACCCTGATTATAAGAAAGGTGATTTAATATGGGGTTTGACTAAATTGGAAGAGTATAGCTTGGTCCCCTCAACACAAATACAATTCAAAATTGAGCACACTGATGTCCCACTTTCCTACTATACTGGAATTCTTGGTATGTATTCAACATTTTCAATTTTTTTCAATTCTTAGTGAAGGATTCACTTGATCCCAGTTTATAATAAATATATTTTACTATTTTATGTTTTCTTTTGTGAGTATACATTCTGCTCCTTCAGAATCAATCTATGCAATCATGCAAACAAGCTTATGTATGTTAGTTGCATATTTTTCTGTCATTTTGATGTGCCTTTTGACTAAAGTTGTTATTTTATTGTTTGAGGATAGGTATGCCAGGAATGACTGCTTATGCTGGATTCTTTGAAGTAGGATCTCCTAAGAAAGGAGATAAAGTTTTTGTTTCAGCTGCCTCTGGTGCTGTTGGTCAACTTGTTGGGCAATTTGCTAAATTAACTGGTTGTTATGTTGTTGGAAGTGCTGGAACTAAAGAGAAGGTATTTGTCTAACTACCGTTGTTATATAAGTTTGCATAAATGATAAATTAGCATTAACTATTTGTTACTTATCCTGCCATTCAATTTGCAAGGGTAGGAGGGAGTATCAGGATTGTATGCAGCTTTTTTCCCGACTTAAACCATGACCTTCTAGTCACAAAAAGCAACTTTATTGTTGTTCCAAAACTCACACTCACCCCAAAAATAAAATAAAATAAAAAGGAAAAAGTAACCATTTGAAATTTTGAAGAGAATTGTCATACACCAGCAATAGTACTTGTGTTTCCCAATCTCATAAATTTTGGAATGGCAACGCATTGTTGTAAAAAAGTCATATTAATTTCAGTTTATATTTGCTGACTAGCAAAAAGACATTAGTCATCATCCATTCACTTGAATGTATGTTTTACATCTAGGTGGATCTGTTGAAGAACAAGCTAGGATTTGATGAAGCTTTTAACTACAAAGAAGAACCAGACCTCAATGCAACTTTGAAAAGGTCAATTATAAACAGTTTTGTGATAAACTTTAATTTAATTTGTCTGTTGCTTAAGTTAGTGCAACTAGTAACACAATACTCACTTGTGACTGTTGGATAACAATTTACAAATCAGATACTTTCCAGAAGGCATTGACATTTACTTTGACAATGTTGGGGGCAAAACACTTGATGCCGTACTTCTTAATATGAGAGTCCATGGACGCATACCTGTATGTGGAATGATCTCACAATACAATCTTGCTCAACCTGAAGGTGTAACAAATTTGACAAATCTTATATATAAGCGGGTTTGTATGCAAGGTTTTGTGGTTTCTGATTTCTATCATTTGTATCCTAAATTCTTAGAGTTTCTTCTGCCTCATATCAGAGAAGGGAAGGTTGTGTATGTTGAAGACATAGCTGAGGGCCTTGAAAATGGCCCTGCAGCTTTCGTTGGTCTGTTTAGTGGTCGTAATGTTGGCAAACAAGTGCTTCTTGTTGCTCGTGAATGAATGCAATTGCTTTTGTCATACATTAACGTCTTTTAAGTTTTTGTTCTGATTTTGTGTTGGAATATTGAGCATTCTGTGTGTGGCTTTTGCCATTAGTTAAAATGTAATCCCCTCATGATCATATGATACTTTGTGATAAAGCTTTTTGTATATAAAATTTTGATTATTTGTAAATTTCATGTCATGAAGATGATGAGAATAATATGGATTTTATATTAAAGCTTTGTTATTGAAATTAATTACTTATGGTTATATATAAGCTTTGTGGATTGTTGCAATATTTTATTTTAATATTTGACTTATTAGGTCTATTTTTCAAATTGGAATCTACAAATCTTCACACATCTACCACCAAGGTATGAGGATAGAGTAGTTGGTGATGATAAGGATGTATATTTGCAAGATTATGTTGTAGCTAGTTTAATATACATCTTTTAATTAAAAAAATTAAAATTCATTAGTGATCTTGCTCCACTAAAACTGAATTAGTTGACCAATTAATAAATTTGTAAAGAAAAAAATGGTTTATACAATTTGTGAATTCTAAGTCTTTTTATCCTCATCATCAAGTTTCTTGGTCCAATCTCATTATCATGTAAATAATGATGATGAGAAGTACAAGTTATATATACATATGTGAATGTGATTTTATTGGCTTGAAGTGGAATTCAACAGGGGATGTTGATACTATTGTATGTATAGTAGTCTAGTGCAAGGGATAAAGTCCCACATAATGTATTTGTGTATCTGTTTTTACTCAATTATATAATAGTACCTCTGATGTGCATTTAAGGCACACAGATTACATCACAGCCCTAGTCGCCGTTCTATGCACCATCATGTGTCGGTTATAGGCGTAGTGTTTAAATTCCTTTGGCAGAACGTCGTTGCCATGTTTGACTAACGACTTGGACAAATTTGCTCACTTTCTTTGTGTGGTCCAAGATTTGTAGTTTTCTTGTTGATCAAAACTTATTATGGTACGCGCTTTGGCTTGCATGCATTTGTGGCTTTATGGTACATGTTTTCTATCTTTTCGAGTTACCCATGGCTGAATCTCACTCCGGTATGTGCTCCCTAATATTCTGAAGCCTGAGGCACTCATTTTCAGCAATTACGTTTATGCTCTGTTATTCGTGGAGAAATTGGATGGCTCTAATTATGATTATTGGCCATTCGACCTTAAACTTTGGCTTATTGGATAGGATTACATTGATCATCTCACCACCATTGTTGAGGTTATAGCCCCTACTGAGTGCCCAAGGTGGAAGAAGATTGATGCCCAATTATGCAACACCATCAAAGCCACTATTCACCCTTTGCTTGAGCAGATCTTTTGTGCTCATGTTACAGGTGAATTTGTTTGGCTAAGGAATTGTATATTAATGATACTCAACATCTCTATAGTGTTTGCAAAAACCTGATGAGTTTTATATCGGCCCAATGTTTTGATGGTCCTGTGTCTGCCTACTTAGGGAAGGTTCATGGCTTAATCACTACAAGAAAAATGATTTTCAGAGATGGTTATATTTGCATTTTGAGGCGGTTCAAATCGCCTCTAGATGCTAAACCGCCTAGTTTATCACCGTCGCGAGGCAAAATACGGCAGTTTTCACCTACCGCTAGAATGACCGCCTCTATATGACAATCTGAGGCGGTTATTCTAACTGCCTCCAAAAGATAATCTGAGGCGGTTATTTTAACCGCCTCCAAAAGACAATCTGAGGAGGCGGTTATATTAACTGCCTCCAAATAACGTGTAACCGCCTCTAAATAATTAAAACTGTATAAATTTTAAATTTTTATTTTTAACGTGTAGCCTTAATATTAAAATTGTCATTTTTAAAATTTAATATATTTTTTATTTTTAATATAATTTGTTATAGTGATTAGTTATTATAGTTTTTTTTTAAAAAAATCATCTTTAAAAGTTAATATAATTTTTATTAATTGAATATAAATAACTTATTGAATTTTGTATATGTGTGTGTTAGTGCGGGTTGTTATATAAAAGGGAATGGAGAAGGAAGAACAAGTGTCATCCAATGTGGGATTTCAAAGTGAAAGTGAGATGGTTTTTTTCAATGTGCAACAGTCATCTTTGAAAATTTATATATAACACCAAATAATTCAACTTAAAAATCTGAACGGTCAAATTAAAATATTACAAGAGAAGAACACAATAACCAAATTTGAGGACGATCCAACGACTGAATAAAGAGATTTCCCTCTTTCAATCTCATTGTCCGATAGATCATGAACCACCTCTAAATATGCTTTGGAGGCGGTTATTTTAACCACCTTTAATGTATATTTTGAGGCGGTTCACATGAAATCGCCTCTAAATGTCTATTTAAGGGGGTTAAAATAACTGCCCCCATTTCCATTCAGAGGCGGTTATATTAAAACCGCCTCTAATTGCTGCATTTAGAGGCGATTATATCTCAACCGCCTTTAAATGGTCAATGAGGGCGGTTATTTTAACCGCGTCTAAAATACATTTGGAGGTTGTTATGGTTTAACCGCCCCTAAAAGTAGCAATTAGAGGCAGTTTTAATGTAATCGCCTCTGAATGGTAAATGGAGGCGGTTATTTTAAGTGCCTCTAGTACATATTTGGAGACGGTTTCACGTCAACCGTCTCGAATCAATTAAACCATCGGAAATACCGCCTCTATGTATCAATTAGAGGCGGTTTAAGTGAAACCGCCTCGGTTAAACAGCATCCAAATATCAGTTTTCTTGTAGTGAATCCACAATTTCAATGAGCTTTTGAGCCCCTCCTCCCACTGAGGATCATACTAAGGAACTTGAACAACAAAACACTTTTTTTTATGTTGATGGCTCTTTATGGCTTACAACGTTCTGAGGCAGTTATTATAACTTGCCTCCAAAGGACATTCTGAGCCTATAACTACCTCCAAAATACATTCTGATGTGATTAATATAATCACCTCCGAATGACATTCTAAGGTGGTTTATATATCCCCCTCCAAATGACATTCAAAGGAGATTTGTGACAGTGAATAATGAGTTCAAGTTTTTAAAAGGTAGTTAGTTAAACCTCCTCCATAATGATTTTGTATAGTACCAAGTTGTGGAAAGTCATCTCAATTTCTCTTTAAAAAACAATTTTTTATTATGACATAAACTTTATAGTATTAAATTCAAGTGTCTTTGTTGGACTCTTGAATAAGTCTCTTGGTGTATACTTATATTCAAGTGTAGGTGTGTGTTAGTGTCTAAGTGTGGGTTCTTATATAGAGGGGAAGGGAGAAGGAGGAACAAGGGTCATTGTAACACCCCGTGTTAACCCGTGTTGTTATCATGTCATTGTATTAAGTCACGCTTAATTAAAATTTGCGAATATGTTTTTCTGTTCAATTATGACGTCATTATCATTACCAAGTTGAATTACTCAATTCATTTTCAAAACATTGCCTGTATGTAAATTGCAAATAGACAGCTAACTGAAATACCTCATAAATAAATAAGTGAGTATCTAAGTCACGGATCTACAACACGTAGTCCAGACATAATCCTGATACCATTATACAACTGGAAACAACTAAAAACAAAAGTCAAGTCAATATGGCATGGACAATCCCCATGCTCACCAAATAAGGCAACAACGCCCAACAACAGTCTCAAATCAAATAACATGACAGTAAAGATAAAGCAAAGTCAGCATCCAGCAAAATCATCATACTAGCATGCAATCTGCTAAGCTCCGGCCTCCTGCCGCTAGAGGTCTCAACCTCCGCATTACCTGAACCTGAAATGGTGCCCCAAACGTGGAGTGAGATCTCTAAACAGAAATCTCAATAAGACAAGGGGTCCTTAAGGATCTTCCACCCCAAGCTCACTTACATGTGCAATATAAGTTCTAAAAGCAATACACAATATCAATTCCAAAATCAGTGCAATGCAGCAGATATTCATGTCATGTGTGTTATAACTATTCTACTGATCAGAGAAATGCAGGAATACGTCTATTACCCACATAAGTACATGCCCACGTTGTACCCGCCCACAGGACCACCTCATGGCTTCCTGTCTAGACGGAACACCACATACATATCATATAGCATTTGCACTTAACAGTTCAATAGCATTTTAGCAAAACAATACATGAAAACACATCATGCATATAACCATCCCCCCATGGGACATAGTGGAACAAACAATGGCTAAACCGAGGACACGAAAGCTTACCTTGCAAGCTAGCTATCCAAGCCAAGAGTCCACACACAGCACAACCACAATCTGTTAGGACCAATAACAACATCAATGTTTATACTCTACAAGCATACGATATAAAGACAACGTCTTTTCTTTGCGTTTCATGTCTTAAGGCTTCTCACAAAGCCACAAGCCCTTAATCCCTTGATTCTGACTTAGTTTAGTTATTACAGAAGTCCCCATAAGACAATCATGGGTCCACAAACCCAAAGTGACATTCTGTATGAACAATACCGACATTGTTCCGAAATTCCCAGAATATCCGGATATATGTCGAGGCCATATCCGGATATCAATATCCGGATATCCATATGCGGATATCACCAGACCCCATATCCGCATATCAATATCCGGATATCATAACCGGATATTTCGCGACAGAATGCGGTTCTGCATTTTCGCGAAGATATCACTCAAAGGTGGTTCATTTCACGGTTCCAGAGGCTTAAACAAGCATTTTAAGGTGTGTTCAAGCTTACCCAACCACAAGTTATTAACTTTAATTCATTACATGCATCAAGGTTTCACTTTTAATCATTAAAACTCATGATCAAGGTAGGTTACACTTACCCAAGGCTCAAACTCAGAAAAAGGTTGCTCTTGGAGCTCACCAACCAGCTCCAAGGATTCTGACTACAAGGTGCACGAAAATGGCAGACAAGGATGGGTTCTTTCTCTTCAAAGGTCACTCCTTGGGGCTCAAAACACCAAGACAAAGGCTTTCATAACACACACCAAGAAGTCAGCTCATTCCCAACACACTCACATCACCCACAACTCAGAATATGGCTCTTTTCTCACTCACCAATGCTCACACCCAAGTGTTTACTTGTTTAGAGATGAAGAAATTAAAGAAAAGGGGTGA